CAGAGCGGAGCCTGCCCCCGCCTTCTGATTGGATGGCTCCTACTCTACATGTCAGTCCATGAATGGTAATGACCCCACCCAGAGCTCGCCCCTCTGCATCACACATAACTGGCCGGTCCCTGCACAGGACATCCTTCCGTCTCCAAACACAGAGCCCGGGACCAGGGTGACACCATGTGTTACCACACCGGGTGACACCAATCCTTGTGATGCCTTTGTATTTTGGTACATGTTGCTGCTACTGTGTGGTTCAAAAGATGTAAGAGGGAATTTCAGTTCATAGGAATATGGAGATCAGAATGATGTGTCTTACACTATGTAGAGAGGATGTGACATCTTTTCTCTGTTGGGGAGCTAATGGATATGAGCAGTTTACAAAAATCATACACACTTTAGATAATGTGCTGTTCATCAGATATTCCCATTTAAATACATTGGTTATTGAGGACTTGTAATGACAGTAGAACCCAGTCTCATCCATAAATGTGTATATAGAATGAGCACCAGCTTAGACAATGCACTTATGGCATGAAGATGTTGTGTTCATCTGCTAATGTGACCTGAACCAGTCACTTGCTGAATGTTCAAAAGTAGCGATGAGTAAACCCAAAGCCATTTTCACTGATAACAGATATTGGTTGCAGATTTGTTTCTCCATTTTGATCACTAGCTGGGAAATAGGTCCCTGTGGAACAGAACAAAATTATCATTTCATATACAATATTTAAAGACACCTCTATCAGAACGAAGGTTTCTGCTAAAGAAGATAAACATCAACATGTAAAGGAGGGCTTGGGGAAGACACTCAGCTGCTGATAAGTTAGTGAGAGCCTCTTGCAGTTACAGGGAATCTTTACTGTGAGGGCCAGTTCACACCAGCTGTAAAGCGCAGATCAATGGAAGGACATCTGAAAAACAATCATTTCCAGGGTGTCCTATTCACACCATAACACTGCGTTGACCTGCGGTGCGCTAAGAAGCAACATGTATGCATTTTAGTGCAACATAACAGATGTAAGTGAATGTCAACACAATGCACAGAATATCCTGTGAAAACGCTGTATGCTTTAACACTCTCTAAAATGCATGTCAACAGATGTCAGCGCATGACTAAAATGGATGGAAAGTACATCCATTTTCCAAACATTTTAGCGCAATTGAGTGTGAATTGGCCCCTTACACACACTGCCAGACTCCTGCATTGCATAATCATTGATTACGCCACGTCTGTCATTTAGGTAACTGCTATTTCCCTCAGTGAGACTGTGGGAACCCCTTTTTTTCAATGTCTTTTGGTTACCATGAAAACACTGAACAAGTGAGTTGGCTTTATACTCTATATCGTGAGACTTTTTTTTTCTTTTTTTTGGTTATACTGTCAGCCTGTACCTCCCATACGGGCAGGCAGTTACTGATTTGCAGGAAGAATCACCAATGTCCTCGCAGTTCATTGAGAACTACAAGGGGTGCTCAAGTCAAACCGGGACCTTTACTTTTTCAGGTATAAAAAGGGATGCTAGAATGGCGGTACTACACGCAGTAGTAAGTGGCAAGTGTGTCCTAGTACTGATATGTGACGCACATGTCATGGGCAAGCCTAGAGACCGGTAATCGAGATGGCCGACAACAGTGTTAGTGCGTGCATGGAACAGAGTTTGGTGATGAAGTTTCTTGTGACCGAAGGTGTAAAACCCATAGAGATCTACAGAAGACTTCAAGCACAGTACGGTGATGAGACGCTCAGCCACAGTAAGACATTTGAATGGTGAAAACATTTCAAAGATGGCCGCACGTCTATTAGTGACGATCCCGGCCGTGGTGGTTCTCAGCCCACAGCAGTCATTCCTGTGAACATTCAACGCATGGAACGCCTGATCCTGGACAATCAACGCATAACCTGTCATGAAACTGCACAAGTGACGAATCTTTCTGTGAGAATGGTGAACACAATTATCATAAAGTGAAGCAGGCTGTCCATGCAGCTTTCCAGGCATTAAACACTGGGATAAGTGTATAAATGTAGCAGGGGAGTAGGTAAAACAATTAATGCAATTTGCTCCCCGTGAAATTTGCTTTTATTATATAAACTCAAAAGTCCTCGTTTGACTTGAGCTTGAAGTTTGGTGGAGGGGGGATTATGGTGGGGTTGTTTTTCAGGGGTTGGGTTGGTCCCTTAGTTCCAGTGAAGGGAACTCTTAAGGCATCAGCATACCAAGACATTTTGGACAATTTCATGCTCCCACCTTTGTGGAACAGTTTGGAGATGGCCCCTTTCTGTTCCAACATGACTGCGCACCAATGCACAAAGCAAGGTCCAGAAAGACATGGGGGAGCAAGTTTGGGGTGGAAGAATTTGACTGGCCTGCACTTGCCTGAGTCCTGACCTCAACCTGAAAGAACACCTTTGGGATGAATTAGAGCGAAGACTGCGGGCCAGGCCTTCTTGTTCGATCAGTGCCTGACCTCACAAATGCACTTCTGGAAGAATGGTCAAACATTCCCATAGACACACTCCTAAACCTTGTGGACAGCCTTCCCAGAAGAGTTGAAGCTGTTATAGCTGCAAAGGTGGGCCAACTCACTATTGAACCCTACGGACTAAGTCTGGGAAGCCATTAAAGTTCATGCGCATGTACCACTGGATGGGACTGATGCTTCTGTGTTGAGCACGTGCTCACTGCGTGCTCTCAGCACAGAGACCAATCTGTCAAAGTCAGTTCACAGTCTCTGTGGGACCAGCTCTCAATCATGTGATCACTATGACAGCAAATCACATGGCAACAACATTGTCGATCCTCCCCCCACCCCCAGGTGTTCAGGGATATCAGGGTGGGCATGAGGGGTTATAAAATGATCATGCATGCCTTGCTGTAATAAAAACCTTCTGCCTTTGATGGCAAGTCACTGAACATATAATGTGGATCAGAGATAAGAACTCCATATCTGTATATTTGCCCCAGGTCAGTGACTCAAAATACTGAAGAAAGAGGCAACCTGCCAACAGTAGCCTCCGCAATAAATTAGGCCTGTTAAGATGGATGTAATGGCAATCCTGGCTGAACACCAAAATATCTAATACGGTGATTATGAAGAGCACAGGGATTCTGCTGGATCTGAGCAGATCCATCTTCTTTTATCGACATTTGCAGGTCAATGATTCTGAAGTAAGGTAAACATGCCTAATCCTGTCCCTTCCATCTCTGCAAACCTCCAGCAGCCTATCAATGTATCTGACCAAGAGTGATACCCAGGAGTTGGGGCCAACTTTATTGATCTTCAGCTTGCACAAGAGCACTAAGGCTTAAAAAACATTTCCAATGCTTTCTCTACAGGTATTCCTAGCTAATATACCGTTTGAAACCTTTTGATATATTTGTTTGATCCATGCAATCACATATCTGTTGTTTCTGACAGAAATTTAGAGCTATCCTTAGTACACTTCCGGTATTATCTCTCAGTGTCTCTGGATTACTAATTACTTTCCATGTTGTGGAAAGGAGTGGTTGAGTTATTTGCCAGAAGAGGACCAGACAGGGATACAGCAACACTACTAAGTCTACAGATATATTATAGGCTGATAATAAAGGGAAAACAAAATAAAATGTTGTTTTAATATTTGACCTATCCCAATATTTTTCCTATTATTACAAATATTCATTAAGAAGTGTCCCTATGCACAACAGAATACACAGAAAAAGAAATAAACTGACACCCATTTACAAGCATGTGACAATCACTTTGTAATGAACATCACATCATCAGTGGCCATGCAGATTGGTTCCCAATCTTTAAACGTGACTGGGGGGAAAATTTGCTGAATATACTGCTCTTATCCAAACTGAAGCCTGTGTGTACAAGGCCAAATATCACCCCAGACTTTCAGGGCTTCATGGATCCTCTAGAAGAGAGGTAAAACCATGCGCAGGCACCTACCAGCCAATGCATCAAAGCTGATTTGATTATATTGTATGTATTTGATTATATAAAAGTAACTTTAAAGGTTTTGAAAGAAGCGATGATGCATGGTATTCCACAGTCACTACATTTCTCCCCGAGAAACTGGCCATCCTACCAGGATGTGCAGGGGAGGGCGCTGCACTGCTGTATATGTAAAAAGAGGAACGCCTTTTTGTCAGTCTCAGCTGAGAATATCATTAATGATAACAGACCTGCACATTTTATTAAAACTACTTAAATTAAACGTCCAGAAATCAGACAGGTAAAACCTGTCAGTTCTGGGCAGAGGCCACCGATGGATGACACAAACTCCCGTGGCCAGCGGGAGGTAGATGAAGGAATACTGGTGGCACCGCAAGCAGAAGCATATGTGGAACCTCTGACAGTCTCTGACCCATTGGGGTTTATTTACTAAAGCTGAAGAGTGCAAAATCAGACTCCCTTCTGCATAGAAACCAATCAGCTTCTAACCTCAGCTTGTTCAATGAAGCTTTGGCAATGAAACCTGGAAGCTGATTGGTTTCTATGCAGAAGGGTGTCTGACTTCGCACTCTCCAGCTTTAGTAAATAAACCCCATTGGGTCTGTGGGCCAGAAATGACACTCACCAGGAGCCCGGAAGTGATGTCATGGTACTGGCGGAACGACCCAAACGGATGCCGAAGTAAGGGAAAAGGAGACTGCTGATGTCTTCAAGAGCCATCTGCAAGCGAACACCCAAAAACAGAACAAGGTGGTTGCTATGAGTACATGTTTTGGGGCAAGGCCCTTCCTCAGGTCATGTCAATGATATTTTTACTTGGGACCGACAAAAAGGCATCCTCTTGTTGACTTTTACAGTTTAATTTCATTCAGTCCATATGGAATCTCAGAGCAGCCATCTCTGTAGTGTTTTTCATTAGTATTCCATGGACATCCACGTGAGCGCCCACATTCTTTTACTGCTGTGTATGTGGTCATCTTATTAGACTCTGCAGGGAAGGAGATGCACTGCTGAGTATGTGGTCAACTTGTCAGGTTGTGATGGGAAGGGGGGTGCACTGCTGTATATGTGTGGTCTTCTCACCAGGCTCTGCGGAGGGGGGTGCACTGCTGTATATGTGTGGTCTTCTCACCAGGCTCTGCGGAGGGGGGTGCACTGCTGTATATGTGTGGTCTTCTCACCAGGCTCTGCGGAGGGGGGTGCACTGCTGTATATGTGTGGTCTTCTCACCAGGCTCTGCGGAGGGGGGTGCACTACTGTATATGTGCGGTCTTCTCACCAGGCTCTGCGGAGGGGGGTGCACTGCTGTATATGTGCGGTCTTCTCACCAGGCTCTGCGGAGGGGGGTGCACTGCTGTATATGTGCGGTCTTCTCACCAGGCTCTGCGGAGGGGGGTGCACTGCTGTATATGTGTGGTTGTCTCACCAGGCTCTGCGGAGGGGGGAGCACTGCTGTATATGTGTGGTCTTCTCACCAGGTTCTGCGAAGGGGGGTGCACTGCTGTATATGTGTGGTCTTCTCATTAGGCTGTGCAGGGAGAGGGTGGACTGCTCTGTGTGTGTATTTATTTATATATATATATATATATATATATATATATATATATATATATATAGCGCGCCATCTTATCAGGCTCCCCAGGAAGGGGGTGCACTGCTGTATATAGGGTCATCTTACAGATTCTGCAGAGGAGGGATGCACTGCTGTTTATGTGGCCATCATAACAGTCTCCGCAGGGAGGGGGATGCACTGCTATTTATGCGGTCATCTCAGCAGGCTCTACAGGGAAGGGGGTGAACTACTGTATCTGCAGCTATCTTAGTAGGCATTACAGGGAAGGGGGTGCACTGCTGTATAAAGGGGCATCTTACAGATTCTGCAGAGGAGGGATGCACTGCTGTGTATGTGGCCATCATAACAGTCTCCGCAGGGAGGGAGATGCACTGCTATTTATGCGGCCATCACAGCAGGCTCTACAGGGAAGGTGGAGCACTACTGTATCTGCAGCTATCTTAGTAGACTCTACAGGGAAGGTGGAGCACTACTGTAGCTGCAGCCATCTCAGCAGGCTCTTCAGGGAAGGGGGTGCACTACTGTATCTGCAGCTATCTTAGTAGGCATTACAGGGAAGGGGGTGCACTACTGTATCTGCAGCTATCTTAGTAGGCATTACAGGGAAGGGGGAGCACTACTGTATCTATGGCCATATTATCAGGCTTTGTGGGGAAGGGGTGTACTGCCATATATGTGGCCATCTTACCAGGCTCTGAAGGGGTGGGGGGTGCACTGCTGTGGAGACAGTACTAGTCCCTTTCTTTGTGACCCTAAGTGGGCACTGACAGGCCTTGATAACCCCGACCCCCACCATCCCACTAAGACTACTGCACAGTATGCTGTTGCTGTATAAACCATTCATTATAGAAAGTGGCTCACTTAGAATGTAAAGAACGTATTTATACAATTATTCTTCACTTCCCCCTCTGATAACTATACAATGATGTGACTGACTACCTTTCACACGCTGTAAAAAGCATTCAATAAGCAGCATTATCTCTATCCATTCTGTGTTATATCCTTTCCCAAATGAAATGTACACAAAGTTTTTACCTTTAGAATGGAAAACTTACAAATCCTGTGAATGACAATGACCTTTTCTTAGTTTAATAATATATATAGTGAGAGACAGCTGGAAAGGCAGCCACAGCCATTTACCTGCAGTGATGCTATGTGCCCATTATTTCCCAGTGTCCTGGTCACTTAAAAATTTTCCTCCTAACGCTACAAATAATTATCATAGTGCAAATCAGCTGCACCGTGTACATCCCCACTTCCCTCCCCATCCCAACACATATCTGGGCTATCCCAATATTTTTCCTATTATTACAAATTTACATGTATAAAAATACTCTCCACAAACACTGAATGTTATTAGAACAGAAAAATAGAAAATCATAGCCAGCTTACTCATACCAATGACAAACAATATATTGCTGACACAACCAGCAGAGGGCAGTAAAGTGTCACTATTCGCTGGACTCAGTTCAGGGCGCAGCAGCCCGTAGCCCCAGGACTGTGGGAAGAAACTCTTCCAGACGATGAACCACCATTAACATATCACTTCTCTAGGATAAGAAATCCCATTTTATTCCATTACCCCAGCAGTGCCTGGGAGGGTCGGTGTCAGCCCCTTGCTGATGTTCAGTAATTCTTCTGTGCTTCCATTTTGTTTTTTTTTTTTTTTATGAAGAAGTGACTTCAGTTCATCTTGTGACAACTTTCTGCAAACAGCTTCAGTGAATTCCTGGAAACTAAAAACGCTTTATATTTGGCAGTGATCTGGCTAATACTGTAAACGGTACAGACACACCCACACATGGCGGGAAGTTCCCGCTTCCAGCGGAGGATGGGCTGCTTGGACTTTGGCAACACTCAAACATTTCATAGTGAAGTGCGGTCTTCTCCAATTCAGTGCAAGTTTTTATTTCGCCAAGCTTCTTACTCAGATGACAAAGGAAGATTTATGTCGGAAATCGCCCTAGAAAAAGATCATACAGTCAGTTTTTTCAGTTGGTGTCTGAATCACTGCGCAATAGGATTCTAGAGCCATTTGTTCATTATTACAGTCTGTATGCGTACATGTGGCCACTGCATTACCTGTGCTGGCTGGCAATCCCTGGAAGACAAATCTTTATTAAAGTGTTCTAAATCCTAAACTTTTTTTTTTTACCTTATTGCATTCCCTACATTAAGAAAAAATGTTCCAGTACCTGTACCGCCCCTCCCCCATATGTCCTCACTTGATCCAGCAATGTGCCAATCTTTGGAAGCTCTCCACGCTCAAAGGCTTTGCTGAAGCCTTGGTTCCGGCTGCTCTCAGTCAAATCCTGTGATGATGGAGCAGGGGGTAGGACCAAGCCGCGCTGTCTGTGTCTATGGATGCAGATAGCATTGCTCTATAGTGGCACACCGTGAGGAGGAGGAGCCAGGAGTGCTGGCAGGGAACCTCAACAGAGGAGGACCGTGGCCACCAGATAAGTATGACATTAATATTAGACTTTGCATTCACTTTAATGTAACAACAAAAAGGCCTAATTTCCACAGCCAATCACTAGGGTCATCCTGAGTTTAGCACACAATCCACAGTATGCTCAGGAGTTTTGACTTCACTCCAGACCACTATGCTGCATACCACCTATCATCCTGGGGGTTCCAGGCCACAGAGATAGGTTTGTGCATCCTTCAAACTCATCTCTAACCAAAACTGTGAACTCCAGCTTTTTTGAACTCCATTGAGTTGCAGAATGGGTCATTCCTAAACTCTGAGGCTCATGAACTCCCCCGCAGCTCAAAGTTCGGAATTCAGGATAGAGATGAGAGCCCAAGGTCATCTCTAGTAGGCAGCAGTATCTAGCAGAGCTAGACACATTTCTGGATAGAGTACATTACATGTGCATTTGGCCCTTTGGGTTTCATATGTCCTACATGGTCCCATAATCTTCTGGTCTCATGGAAAATGGCTCTGGTATAATATGGCTATGGTCTGTGGGAATATAGCTTCAGTGACTTACTTTGTTTATGGTGGTGTAGGAAGAAAGAGCAAAGGTGGCTGAGGAGGAGGAAGAGCAAAGAGCTGGGCTAGTGGAGGTAAGAGGGTTCAGCGCAGGAGACAAAAGTAGTAAAAGTAGGTCAGTGATGGTACAGATGAGTGGGAAAAGTTACCGTACAGCAGAAGCAACTGAGGTTGGGAAAGAAGGCCATCAAGGGACCAGAGGAGGCAGAAATGTGAGAGACTGGAAATTCATGGCTGGCACACTGCAGTGTGCTCCTTCCCCACATAGTACACAAATCTTCCACAGCAAGGGTGCAGCTAAAGCTTTGGGCTTCCAGCTGAATACATCAGAGGAGAGAAGTAGAGCTCCAAGTCCAGCTGCTGATGACTGTGCAAAGCTGTATGTCATACGTACAGTAGCAGCCATGAACGATTAAGCCCCGAGAGTGGAGCGAAATGAGTTGGGGCAATGGCATGGACGGAGCTTGCTGAGCCTGCTACTATCCTTATGACATACATGTTTGCACGGTGTGCAGTGTCTAAGACCTTTCCCATGCCTTTACATTATGCATGGAGTCAGGATGGACTCCCATCCAGTCTGCACTTACAACAGGATCCACCGAACAGGTCTCTAAAAGCCTGGGCAGAGGACCCAAAGCTTCTTTCAGGTCAAGCTGTTGATGAGTGTTTTTTTAATAAGCCAGTATAGCAATGTATTCCAACACATTCCGCATTAAAAATAACCCCCAATTGTTTGTTTCTTATGGTTTTGCAGCTGTTTTAAAAATCCTCCTTCCTGGGGACAATTTACTTCCACCCTTTCTGCTAGTCCGAGCTGTAATCTTGCGCATGCGCTTTGGGGTCTCAGGCAAGCCTTATTCTAGTTCCGGGATCACTATGGCAACCATGTCCCTCTGCAGTGTGCTGTGATGTTCCAATGTTCGCACCCCCTTGTGACGTGTAAGGTCACATGGGATGTGTCAGGAAATGCTGAATGAGCAAATGAGCTGTAATATTGCAGAATCTTGGCGCTGTGCCGCAGATAGCGAATGTGACGGACACAACATACATCTTTATGAATATGACGGCACAAAGAGCGTGGCATGAACTGAGTTAAAGATGCGCATGTGCCGGTGACACCAGCAAAAGCAACGGGACAGATTACAAGCAAACAGAGCGAGTAAGATGACATTTACATACAGCTATTTTAACAGTTTTTAGTGATGATTGATATGTGCAAAACCTATGGGGGAGAGTTTACTTATACTTTAAAGCATAAAGAGCTGTAGAGGACAGAATCGATCTGAGAGGGAATGAGTCAGGACTGGGAACACGCAAATGACTACGCTAGAGTCCATCCAAGCTCAAGAGAGGACATGAGGCCATGTTTTGATGTGTGAGCCTGAAGAGGAGGAGGAGGAAAGGACCATCATCCAGGAGACAAGATGAAGGAAGGGAGATATATTTTTTTAGGATAGATTAGTAAGGATAGTAGAATAGATTAGGTATAAAAACCTGAAGAATGGAAGAAGAGATTTAGAAATGAGGGATGAGAAGAAGAATATATAGGGAAAACATGACACTTAGGAAGGAAGAATTGAGAAAAGGAGACGACATCTAAAAAGAAAGATGAGAAAGAAACACACAGAAAACCTAGAAAGTAAGATGGAAGAAAATGGCTGGACATTTACAATGGGAGAGCAAAACTCTGGAGACCTTAAGTGGACCAGCAAGGACAGAAAATTTGGAGCTCTTCTGGGGCTGTCATCATCATCCTTGCTGTAACAGTGATCCACTGACCTCATACAAGCATACAGGAAGAGGGGGTCTAAGTTTTTAGTCTTTATTAGTCTTTATGCTTGCTTTAGTTTATTGATTTACTAAGTAGTAAAACAAAGGTAATGATGACAGCCCCAGAATACGTAATAATACAAAAAATCAGTGATGGAAACTACCAGATTTCTATCCTGAAGGCTCTGCAGAATTACTCATCTATTCCTTTCTAGATGCCCCATCTTCCTCCTACTGCTACCAAGCTTCAGCTTCACATTTGGTGGTGTACTATACGAACAGTTGGTGCTGAAATGATGGACTGCCTGGACTCACATTGCAGTCTTCTGCATTTGTATGCACTCTGAATCCTAATATGCTTATCCTTGTCAGCAAGCCACATATGTTACATATAATACATTAGAAAATGAACATTACATGAGCTTAGAAATGAGGGCCAACATGTCAAGGAACCAGAATAGATCCC